TAAGTGGACGGAAAGTGGGAGGGGGGCTCAAAGTGTGTATAGTGGCCATCCGTGTGGGTCCCAAGCTTCTAGCCGTGCGGTGATGTAATGGTAAGCGAGGGGGGGGGGGGGTGCTCGATAATTCTGAGCCCCCCCCCCCCCCCATTTTTAATCAGACAGCACCAAGTCTAGGCTTATTTTTCAATTTGAATAGAGTCCAAGACTGTATAGTGAGTTTCCTACAAAGTAGCGTTTTTCGCAACGATAACTACATAAAGCTACATTTCTACGAAATTATACTCTTTTTTTGTATTCATCTCAACTACAATTTTCGACCAGCTGTTGGTACGTTAATCGGCATCATTTCCAACTCCATGATGTCAGAGACCTTGTACGCCCCATGAAACATCAGGTGGTGACAATATGTCATGTGACGCAGGTCATGAACTCTGCCCAGTTGGAAAACTAAAGTCGATTTTTAGTCGGAAATACTTTACATTATTATTGAGATGATACTAAATGTCTGTAGGGTCATTCGTCATGTTTATTTTGAGGCATTATATTGAGGAATGTTTGAGAAGTTATTGGAAAGTTAGAAGTTTCACATGAAAATCGAAAGTCAATTTCACCTGGATCGTGATTGGTCGAAAGTAAACCCGTGGTAATAACTGACGGGCCTCTGGGTGATTGTAAAGGGCCTTGACAAAAATTCACTGGCGCTAACTTTCTGACCTTTTATGCGTCATCTCCTTTCGTGTCTATGCAGTCTCATGTCACATTCAATTTGAAACGTTGATATCGAAGATTATTGAAGAGGTATCTCATCATTTTGGGTGGAAGTTTTCGAGACCATAATGGTCAAAACCTGGCGCAGAACATCTGTTCGTTGGTTCGTAACTCTCCCGAGCCGCGCATTATTGTGCTAACTAACTGACACTTCAAGCGATGACCGCTCCTGGAAAGCTTTGCAACTTTCTTCCTTTTGAACAGCTGAAGCCTGAAATCAGACATATTTATTGCACTTTCTTACATGAACTGAAAACGGCTAAAATTGCGCAATTAAAACTGGATGGTTCTAACCATGAACGATGGCAGAGACTTTAAAAAATCAAGGAGTAACCGGGGAGCTGAGGTAACTCCTTAGAAAAATCAACCAAATCACCTTCTCAAATGCGCAACAACTGCAATGTCGCATTACGTAATGCGAACGTCATTTCCATAGGATATGCAGAATATTATTGAAATTACCCTTGAGTTGATTTCTCGAAAGTCTTTGCGATCGTGGTGGTTTCGCCTTTTAGCTTACGGTCAAGAGCAAGATTTTATGGGGTCAAAGTTTGGTCCAATTCGTTCGTGACCTCTTTAAAGACTTGACGTCAGTAAGATGAAATCTTTGAAATTATAGGATTGAGTAAACTGGATTCGGAGAAATCTACCTACTTAGGACTGAGGCCAAGGTTATCCTGAACCGTAATCTAATAACGATTCAAAGTCAAAGTTTGACATTTCCAGAATGGTCAGCTGTGAAACGATCCTTGACCATTTGAATCTTGTTAGGAACTTGACTTTCTCAGAACTTTTAACAAGTAGGTCTAGGCCCTTATGGTCACGGACAAGGGCGCGAGTGACGGTATAGGATGAAGTTGTTCATGCACATTTCATGAGAATATGTTTAACATATTGATGAAATTATTGGATCAGTGCCAGTGGGGATTTGAAAACTTGGTTCCACTTTATTGGCACTCAAGACCATTCTCTCGATGCATGGTTGTTGGTGATAATGTTTCATGATGATGATGATTTAGTACTGCTATATAACATAAATTAAATATGGTGTATACCCCTCTCTCACTCCCTCTCCCCCCCCCCCCTCCCACCCGTCACGGGGGTTGCCCAGATACATTACTCTTAATTTAGGGGAGGATCACATTTCTTGACCAATTTCTTGCTACGCCAATGTGGTGTTGTTAGTGTGTGTTTTGTTTGGGGTTGGGGGGGGGGGCGGTTCCAGGGAATACAGGAAAGAAATTCGATACAGCAATAATGAGCGTCGTATGAGTAACCATTTCTATAGCATCTGCAAATGATTTAAAATGGAGACATAAATGTTTTGACTCTCGTCTCCTACCGGAAATAAACTATGATTATGTAGGTCTACAGACAATACATTGGATACTAGGAAAGTTTTTAATAGACTGCAATGACAAACAAAAAATGACACATGAGCGGTTCTAGACTGATATGCTTTTTGGAAAGAAAAGGGAAAGAAGAAAGGGGAAAGAAGAAAGGGGAAAGAAGAAAGGGGAAAGAAGAAAGGGGAAAGAAGAAAGGGGAAAGAAGAAAAAGGGGAAAGAAGAAAGGGGGAAAGAAGAAAAGGGGAAAGAAGAAAAGGGGAAAGAAGAAAAAGGGGGAAAGAAGAAAGGGGAAAGAAGAAAGGGGAAAGAAGAAAGGGGAAAGAAGAAAGGGGAAAGAAGAAAGGGGAAAGAAGAAAGAGGAAAGAAGAAAAGGGAAAGAAGAAAGGGGAAAGAAGAAAGGGGAAAGAAGAAAGATATAAATAAATGAAAAACATAATTTTTTAATCAATCACCTGTTACTGTTTAGCGTTGTCTTTATTATGTAGAAGGGGAAAGAAGAAAGGGGAAAGAAGAAAGGGGAAAGAAGAAAGGGGAAAGAAGAAAGGGGAAAGAAGAAAGGGGAAAGAAGAAAGGGGAAAGAAGAAAGGGCAAAGAAGAAAGGGCAAAGAAGAAAGGGCAAAGAAGAAAGGGGAAAGAAGAAAGGGGAAAGAAGAAAAGGGAAAGAAGAAGGGGAAAGAAGAAAGGGGAAAGAAGAAAGGGGAAAGAAGAAAGGGGAAAGAAGAAAGGGGAAAGAAGAAAGGGGAAAGAAGAAAGAGGAAAGAAGAAAAGGGAAAGAAGAAAGGGGAAAGAAGAAAGATATAAATAAATGAAAAACATAATTTTTTAATCAATCACCTGTTACTGTTTAGCGTTGTCTTTATTATGTAGAACTTATTTCATTTCTTCTATTGCGAATTGTCTCACCATCGCTCAGATTTTCTCATGTGATAAAACAACAATCATTTTTTTTTGTATCCAATCTACATTTGCCAACACACTCCCTGTGGTGTAGATGACAAGGAAAAAACCAAAAGAAGAAATTCGGTGGGAGATATATAAATTAGATAGGAAAAGAATTATGAGAAAAGAGATGCCATTTAAACCCTAAAAGCGAAGGCGTTATCAAGACCCTGACCCCCTCCCCTTTCGTCCGACAGAAGAGACCAGTGCCCCCTCCCCAGTTAACAAAATGGGGCATTATTGCCTTGAACTCTCCGACAACTACATCCAACTTTGGAATTGGAAGTTGATATTCAATTCTCTTTGTGGTATTGCTAAGACCAGTGACCTTGGTAATATATTTACCAGTTCTCCACCACCGTTTTGATTTAATTCAATTTGTGGCAACAACAAATAGACAATCTGATTTAAGTAATTGCAATTTTGTTGTTGACAGAATAGTTAAGTGCTCCAATCTGTGAAGGTTTTTTTTTTCTTTTTTTTTCAGTCGCACTGTAAGTTAATACTTTTCAGGAGGGGGTATTTATTCTCTTATTATTAGTTGACGGATCAAATAAGCCTTCAATGATGATCGAAATTTGAAATGACGTGTAAGCGATCAGATTTTCTGGTGAAATAAATGTCTCTGTAATCTGGGAAATTGTTGAGTTTACTGCCACGGGCCCACGGTGTCAAAGTCCTGTACTAAGGCCGATGTTGGAAGTATTCAGGAGAAACAAATAGACCGAAAAATTATCACTTGTACAACGACATTTAAATCTGTTGAAATTTAGTTTTAATCTATTATCTTTGGCTGGAAATTCGAACATTTCTCATGGTTTCATGATATAATCTTTCAGCTTTGATTGCATAAAATTATTTCTTGTTCTCAAACATTTTTACTTATTTCTCGATAAGGATTAATTTTATAAGAGCAATTTATCATTTGCATTTCTCTTGAGGAAGCGCTAACAAGTTTTGTTAATGAAAGCAACCAGATTTTTGAGATAGAAAAATAAGATGGGGAAAGTGGCTAAGCCCAATTCTCTATTTTTTTTAAGGGAGGGGGGGGGGCGGCGAGCCATTCTAGGTGGTTGAACTTTAAGGGAGTAGGGAAGATAGAGAAGGATCATGTCTTTTTTTCGTGATATCTTTCCTCTCACTTTCAGAATATTTCTCTCTCTCTCTCTCTCTCTCTCTTGGTGTTTTTTTAAAAATCATTCGACCTGGAGTCGTGTGGGGCTTGATCCCCTATATATCTCGAATCTTTAGTTACATGAAATCATGCAAAACAGAAGAATCAAGAGAACGTCCAGTGACACAGCTGCCCAATATATTTAAAACTTCTCTCTATCTCTCTCTCTCTCTCTCTCTCTCTCTCTCACACACACACACACACTTTCTCTCTCTCTCTCTCTCCCTCTCTCTCACACACTCTCTCTCTCTCCCACTCTCTCTCTCTCTCACTCTCTCTATCTCTCTCTCAGGGTAATAAATATTCTCGGAAAATCGGCGTAAAATTACTTTCAATACCAATCTATCAAATATGGCATAATTTATTTGACAGGCCAAGGCTGGGAACCTGCCGTCCACACTCAATTTAAACCATAATAAAACCAAAAAAATATTGAATTTCTACAAATTGATTCAGATTATGGGAGAAGTAGAACATTTATCAGGTATTAACCTAGAATTGCCATTATCGTTTTCAGTTACGTTTCATCATGAGAGCGGCAGGGAAGTACACGTGGGCTTGTAGATTCTAAGAATTTAATTATATCTTCTTCTTTTTTGGCGAAATATTAGATTGTTTGCTGACCGTTTTCAAGTCCGCTCGCTATCCACAAAATCGGACATACAAAAGAAGTAATTATTTTTCAATTAAACAAATATCGAAATGGTTTGTGTAAGACTATTAGTTGAATGATCAATAAATATTTAACTATCGCATCAGGTACTTTTTATCAGGTCTTTTATTCTCAACAGCTGAATCTACAAAATGGCGACTGGTTTGAAACTGCTTGGGTTGCTCCTCTGCGTTGCCATGGCAGCGGGAGATCACCACATGTCAACGTTGGAGGACCTGGCGGAAATTCAGAGAGATCTCTACCTCAAGACATTCGAGTTCTTCAACTCGAGCGTGAGCACGGAGATGGGCAAAATGGTCGAGAAACTGAAGGCCCTTGAGTCAAGGCTAGACGATGTGGAAGGAAGACTACAAGATTATGGTAAATTCATATCAAGAAGTATTGCCTTCATAATAGTTATAAATGCTGAAGTTGAACAAGAGATGTATATTTTGTAAAGGGAATCCCAGTGAGTGGTTTTGATGCACCAACAAAATCATATCGAAGGTCAGAGCGAATGAGAACATAAATGAGAGAGAGAGAGAGAGAGAGAGAGAGAGAGAGAGAGAGAGAGAGAGAGAGAGAGAGAAAGGGGGGGGGGGAGTAAATATGAGTGACGGATATCACAATTTAAAGGAAATAAACGTAAATGTCAATTTTCAATTACATTTTTTGCATCAAAATTATGCAGATATTTTGCTATTTGGCACTATATTCGTAATTAATCTGTATAATTATCTCAGAAGTTTGATGCTTTGAGATCTTAAATATGAGAATAAGCATATACGTTTTGTGATATTGTGAAGTCTTTAATATTATCACTAAATATACGCCGGAGCTGATTTGATTTTAAAGAATCTTTTTACATGTTAGACGTCAGTAACCAAGAACATTGTTTTATCCATTGATGTATGTTATGGTTATTCTATAATTGTATTTGCTCTTTCATTTTGAATTTTGGTGAAACCTATATTATATTTTCCTCTGCTATTACCGAAAGGTTTTGACCGTTGTATTCTTGGATAGTGGAATAATTAACACAAAAATCGACTCCCCGTGGGATCTGCTTTGCATGAAAAAAATTCTTCTGGGCCACCATAGATATTTAGTCGCAATGTTTACCTCATGCATGTTGCTTCAGCTTTCTACAAAATAATGTCAATGGTCGATTTTTCATCACCAGCTTTGCATTAACTAAAATTGTAAATGAAAACGCATACATGAACCAATCTACTCGATGAATATGGTTTGTGCTTTCCACTTACATCTTTATAGGTAAATGTAGAGCAACGAGATTTTAGTTTATAGCACTCATTTGTACTAACTTTAGTGATACTCCAAGTGCTTACATAAACGCTTTTTGATGGAAGTGACTTATATTAAGTTGTCCATTACTAATGACCCTCTAGTAATGAACACAATCGTTGAAATAAAAGTGAGCCAAATTCGAGCCGAATCTGTTTTTTTTTTAAATCTGTTTCTACTGGCATTTTCACCGTGCATATACTTGTATCAAGTCGAAGCATTCGTGCGATAGAAAATGTATGCCTGCTAAATAAACATGAGAAAAATATAAATTTTGCATTTTCCTATCCAGGATGTATCAGTTTTAAAATAAATAATAAATGAAAATAACTGAGACATTTTGTCAGAGGAACACCGGCTCAGCAGTGGTCTTACCAACAGTAAGGGCCCGAGTTCGAAACTCTTTCAGTATACACTTGTCCCGGTATCAATTTCTCACTCTGTATTTCAGAAAGGCTTGCGGATTGAAACGTAGGTCCCAACATGCTTATCTACAAGCATTAATGTTTGTATAACACCACTCAGATTAGACATCAAATCAACATCAATCTGATTTCAGTGGGTGTTAGTTATTATTCTGGTTCATTAATAATTAGTGGCAATTAGGAGTGCATCCACCGGCTTCTCCACTCTTCAACCGCCGTTACCGTGATTGCTGTGTTTTAAATGGTTACGTGATCAGCTGGATTATGTACATATAGAGTAGATTCATTGTAGGTTCATTAGATTCATTATCATCGATTTTTCTTTGTCGCCCTCATCGTTATAATGCATACCACCACCACCACCATCATCATCATCATCATCATCGACACTATCCCCATCACTATCACCACTAGTTTTAGTGTACTTGTGATCAACTACCATCACCATCATGACCGTCATCAACATCATCATCAAAACCAATCATCACCACCACCATCATCCTCATATTCATACTCATCATAATTATCATCACCATTATCATCACCATCATCATCACCATCATCATCATCATCATCATTATCGTCATCATCATCATCATCATCATCATCATCATCATCGTGGTCGTCGCCATATTCGTCGTCATCATCATCATCATCCCCACCTCCACCACCGGTGTCACCAAAACTGCCCCCGTTACGATCACCATTACTGTCATCACCATTCCTGACACGTAATACCAGCAAAAGCACCACCACTCCAAAAATCATCCTCATCTAAACCACAGTAGTTACCAATACTGGTTGCTATTTTCCTTCATTATAACCCTGTCACTTGTAATGCCATGTACATTCATTTATCACTTTCAAAAGTGTTTTGGATCATTTTTGGATCATCGCCACCTTATTAAACCCTTTTCATGCCACCCTAACCTACATTACCCACCCAACCGAGCACCATGCTGAAAAGGGTAAAATGAAGGAGAGTGAATCGTCTCCCGTCCGGGACTATACTGTTTTGCAAATGTTTTATTTTACTTCTAGAACCTGTGTTTGATATCTTGTTTTGTAGATTGTTTATACTCGTATACAAGATTTCACTCTTCTCAGACAGCGTAGTGATTAGGCTTACACTTTAGCACCAAGTCTAAAATAGCTACCCAAAAATGTAGGCTATTATTAGCAGTGCGAAGCCGATTTGCAGCAGGGGTGTAGAACTGTGACTCGACTCCCGTTTAAAATATTACTCCAGAAAATATGGGCTTTGTAGAGTTTGGTCGGCAAATCTCACATACATAAAAACAAAATGTTGCTATTCTTTTCTTGCTTGTTGGTAACATTTCACGTTCTTTGCTGACATTAATGTCAAATTTGGTCCGACCCCCAATCAAAACGGTCTGGCGACGCCCCTAATATAGAGAATGAACCCGTGATCGACATGGGTGTCAACTTGATTTTGATCCTGGACGGGATATGATTCTCTCTCTGGCATTGTCTGGGCGCTTCGCTTATATCATCACCATCGTCGTCATCATCACCGCATTCATCAGCCTTGGAAAGCAAGAGCCCGCTCGCATCATCAAAACGTCGCCAATCACTCGAAGAAGTATTTATAATCATTTAAAAAATGCTGCTTCTATATTTATTTTCGAGCATTCAGGGTTAATATCCGTCAGGGCAATCCACATTATATTTTTTTGATGTTTTACTCTTCAGATTTGGGTTTTTAAAAAGGAATCATAAAAAGAAAAAAATTGTTTCCCCAAAATATGGAATGCATTAATAATTCTTGAAATAATTGTTTAATACCTTTAGGTATAGTGAATCACTTGAACAAAAGCCTCCCTCTCCCCTCCTAAAAAAAAACACAACAACAGCCGATAATTTCATTTTGTATTAATATTAAAAACCCATTCTAGTAGTAATTCCTCTAGATAGATGCTTTATTGGATGTCCTGGTTCTGGAGCATGAAATTGTATTTTTCTTTAGTTGTGCCAAGTGACTTATTATACTTTATAGCATGGCTTACAAAAAAAATGTCTGAGCTAGTACGCCACATTTCATTTTGCTTTTATTTGAACCAAGAAGAGGTTGAAAAACCCTTTATCTCACGTAAGGGGACACCTAGGTGACCCACGACATTAAATCTGTCAAAATCAAGCAGATTTATTTCACATGAAAAGTCTCTTTACAGCATAAACAAATCACCATTATGATTCCAAAATTTTCCTCGCTATACCCCAAGGTACAAATATCACCATCAATTACATTTTGGAGCCCCATAAAAGTTGCATAAAAGCATAAAAGAGAGGCGATTATTTTACTTTCAACGGATTAGATTTATTTGTCTGTTTTGCAATATAATTGAAATAGGAAATACAGAGGTAAATTGTATATTTCTAAATGGAAATAAAGTTTGAATTGTCAGTGAAACATGGGTGAAATTAATAGATAAATCGAATGATTAAAATGATTCCCTTTAAGCTTTTAAGATCCCTCCATCGGAGTTGGCGTCTTCTTGCGACGCGGAGCGGGCTCTTGCTCGCCTCAACTCGTCGCTTGCGTCATGGTACGAGCGTCTGACGCAACGCCTGGCTTCCATAGAAGATACCATACGCTTCATTGCCGTCTCAGAAACAAGTGGTATGTTCAGTATGTTCAGCATGTTCCGAGTGGTATTAGCGGTACTTAGATTGTATTTCCCGTTGCACACGGGGCTTCATTTACTGACGGAGGACTGCGTCATCGACTGACGCGGGCTCTGACGCGCCATGTGAGAATACCCTCCCTTGTATGAAGTGAATGTTACATAAACAGTGCAACGATCGCTTTAAATGATTTTTGGCGCATGTTCTCATTGCCCTCACATGCTTGATTAGCGCAGGTAATGACGCAATCGACCTAACGCCTCGTGTGCAGCGGGCATAGCCTAATAGGTCACCCCCTCCCGGGACCTCCTCCCCCTTTGGAAAGAACATTGCTGCAGTCTATGATTTCCAAAAGTACGTGGATAGTTGCGGTTCCGTCCACCTATCCCACCCACCCAACCCCCCCCCCCCCCCCCCCTCCCCACGTCCATCATTTCTGACAACCCTGGATCGGCCTCTGACGAATTTTCTTAGAATTGTCAGGATAAAAGAGTGGAAGTGTCATCCCGCATGTCGAATTTCGGAATAATTTTGTAATTTGCCTAAAAAGTAGGTACGATGGTGTTTGGAACTATGAAATGAAGTTACTAAGAACATACATTTTAAATTCTGAAACTTTCACAAGTCATGTGAGCGCATTTGTTATGCCTTCTTTTTTGTTTTACCTCAAAAAGGTCCTAATCAATAAGGTTGGAGTTTTGTCATCATATTTCACGCTTTGCCGGCAAAATACGTACTCTAGTATTTATGTTCAAATCATTATTTGTCAGCACATTTGTGCAGGCAGGCACCCTTTCCAATCCATATACATCATGAGTATCAATACATAGGTGTGTTTCTGTATCAAGTCGCATGTTTCGTAGCCAAGTTGTCTGCAAATGATAAGACTTAGGCTTAAAAAAAATTGTTTTAAAATAAAGCCAAGATTGAAGTTGATTTCTCACACAGTATCGCTTAAAAACTTTATACATCAGTCACACCAATAACTTGAAAACCGACAAGAGACCGAACAAATATTTGCATTATCCCAAATATCCAAGAGTTGGTCGGTTTGGACTCGGAGTGGAGTCGGTTTGGCGGTTTGACTGATGTATAAATGTTTAGATCAGACATCTCATTCACATCAACGAAACCGACACCGGACTGACTACAGACCGAACATATAACCCGAAATGTCCAAGAATCGGTCGGTTCGGAGTCAGTGTGGATTCGGTTAGGCGGTGTGACTGACGTCTCTTACGTGCAGACCTGGCACTTTCGAAACCTGCACGACAGGCTACCGAAATATGATATGAAGAAGATTCGTAAAGAGCGTGCGGGGAAAAAAAGAAATCATTTTGTGACCACCTGTTGCGACTTTCACTACCGGAATTCATGACTTTGTCGCACAATATCATTGACCCCTGGCATGCTCATCTTCTATCACGATGTTTTCTATGTTAAAGGTACTCTGTCCCATTTGCAGCAAACACCAACATCTGTAGAACTTTGCAGGAATTTTGAATATGTCACGTACGTCCTATCTGTGCGTTAGCAGTGAGTTAATATTCAAAAGGGCATATGAGCATTAAATTTTGTCTACATCAATAACCCACTTCTTGTTTTGGCCAAATTGAACTTATTGAATCTTTGCGCAGCACAAAACGTACGACCATTCAGTACAAGGGTCTGAAATCAGACTACTACTAAATGGATTGCAAACACTAAAGTCGATTTGACAACTTTTGGTCGTTATTTTCACACTTAAAGATAAGTTCAAGCCCTCTTTCTTTTAAGGCAGTTCTAAATTAGCATTATCTTTCAAATACCGTTGGAATTTAACCTTTGATTGAGCTCTAGTAAAGTTGAAGATATAGTTGGGAGCTTTCTTTTTCGATTTATGTCAGTTTGAAAGAATATCTTATTAGTGTCTCCTGAACAAGATTGCTAGTAATTATTGTCCTAATAAGCGAAATTATGACGGAAAGTTTGGACCAAACATTCATACCGTTTGTTTGTGTATATTCGTTTTGGTGCGTAGTGCGTGTGATTTTCAATTTGATCATTGCGAAACATCACATGATACATCAAATCTCATGTACTGAGGAATCAACATTCCCCACTGCTTCCAGACAGTTTCTGTCACAAATAAATCACATGACCAGTGTTCAACTTTAACTTCAAGGTCACACCCTGTTTATTGTCATGTGATGTTAAGGCTGAACATGATGCGATGTCTTGAGGGTTGCTATTCAAAAGAATATGAGACAATTTGAGCATTTTAGAATGCTACGGCCCGGGCTATATACGGCATTTTTATTAATGCCAAATGTCACGTTTGAGAAATATTCGCCCTAGCAAATCATAGGAGCGGGAGGGGGCAGCGGCGTGTTATAGCCCCGGGGAGGGGTTGAAGGGAGGGGAAGGGCACTCGAGATGCATCGATTGTATTTGAGGTATTGGGTCTTTCTTTTGGGAGACATTTTGTGATTATTTTATGGGGCACTTGCGGCAGTTTCGCATGTTTTCTTGAGCTTCTCCCCATGCACTTTCCAGAGATTGAGATTTTCATACATTTCCCGGTTTCATGTCAGTCAGTCGATAGATGAATCTTTAAAAAGTATTTTTAAAAAGGGCATAGAGTATCAGATGTAGAATAAATTATATCGTTTTTGCAACGCATTCTTCGTACAATTATTATAATACTAACATGCGTTGGAAATAATTTGTGTGTGTGGGAAAAGATCATTATCAAGGTAGTCACATGGAAAACATGAATATCTAAATCTAAACTTGACTGATTATACCAAAACCGTTGAGAAGAAATAGGTAACATCTGTTCGTGACGAATCATTCGAAGGCTTGTCGATATCCTCCCATGCAGTGGCAATTTTTGTATCAGGGTCGCGGAGGGACCAGGGCACAGATTGGCATAAGAGGGGGTAAGATCCACATTTCAAATTTCTTTCACGAATCTTTATTGATTTGACGGGAAATTTGAAAAAATTTAGACCCTGTTTTTCAGACTCATCTTGTCGATAGTTTTTAGATTCAGGCTGGGAGATGGTGACCTGTTAATATCGAGCCGACTAGGTCCTGGCCCTTAAAGTCACAGTAGCTACTTGCGCCCTCTATATAACAAACAATGCCTATATAATCGGTGACTATTTGTCCCTCATGATCCTCTTTTTCTTATGTTATTTGAGAGCTGAGTTGATGATATAACCAAGTGTCCAGTGACCTTGCAGGGTGGTCTGATCACTCCTTTACACTAGTACAGATGGCCTTTAAATTGTGGGTGAATGGCACGCCCTGTCAGAGGTCGGGATAAGCCTTGGGGGGGGGGCAATAATCAACACAGATACATAGTTATTTTCGTTAATTTCGTTATAGTTTTTATTTTATTTTATACCTCATAAGAAAGAAAAAGAGGGTCCTACGAACTTTCTTAGGCTTGTTAAATTTTTTCTCGTAGTATTTTGTCTAATAACACAAGTGTCATAATTTCGGACCTTTAAACAATGTACACCGATCGGATATCAGAATCCTGTGAATGCCTTTCATATGATCTCCTTGACTAGTTTCCTAAATGAACATCAGTCCTTTTATTTTTGAAGATTACTCATAGACACCGAAATGTTGTCTCTTCTCAGGGACGTCACTAGAGGGCGTGTGCGATTTAACACTCATCAATTATTCTTCCTTGAAGAAAAAAAGAATGTGAAACTTAATTTTATAAGCCTCTTTTAATCAAATGGACCAAACTGAATATTTAGTCTTTCGACGTTAGCCCCCTCCCCCCCCCCCCTCCCCTCGTAAAAACAATCTGAACGGCAAGTTAATTTTTCAAACCTTATTTCTTTGTCGGAAAAAATGGTGACTATTTATTCTTGTTGGAAAATCATTGGCTGACTTGTGAGCAAATTTAACCCCCCCCCCTCATCCTCAATATCGTCCAGTCTTAGAAATGAGAGAAGAAAAAAGAAAAAACAGAAAGTATTACAAAGCCCACCTGCCCGGCTTTTTTCCTCTGAGCAGAGGTTAATGTGTCTTGGTGATGGAGCAAATTTTACTCGGCATCATTTTAACTTTGAAAGGTTTGAAGTTCATCAGGGTTTTTTTTCTTCTGGAGGCTAATTTTTCAAACCAAACATTCTTCAAACATTACTGGAACATGTCCATGAGCTTGGATATGACCTTTCATCACCTAAGCAACTAATGTATATAAACAAACTTTGATTTGATTTACATCCTCACTACATCAACTTTTCAAAGTCATTGAATATATACAGTATCAATAAAGGGTGTTTCCAAGTGCGTAGCCAGGATTTCATTTTAGGGGGGCGGTAGTGAGCACGCGAAGCGTGCGAACCACTTACAGAGCGCGCGTAGCGCGCTCCGGAAGCTTTGACGTTTCATCAAATTATTAGAGAAAGAAGACGATTCGTTGGGCCGTTCTCGACTCTTAATCCTTATCTAAATTCAGTTTCCTTTGACGTTTCATCAAAATATTAGAGAAAGAAGACGATTCGTTGTACCGTCCTCGACTCTTAATCCTAGTTTGAATCAAGATCCCCTTCCCTCGCGGGTAGCGCGGAAGCTCTGACGTTTCATTAGATTATTAAAGAAAGAAGACGATTCGTTGTACCATTCTCGATCGACTCTTAATCCTCGTCTGAATTCAGTCGTACCGATTCGTTGTACCGTTTTCGACTCTTAATCCTTTTTCTTCCTACGTCCTCTTCCTTTCTTCTGGTTATCTCTTTTTTCTTTTTTTTTGGCCGGCGTTTTTTCGGGGGCGATCGCCCCCCGCCCCCCCCCCCTGGCTACGCGCCTGGGTGTTTCTATGAGTTGTTGGGAGACACGCACCCCTTTTTTAACGGCAAATCTTACAATAATAATTATATGTGCTTATACTGTATAGCGCCTAACACTTTATCAGAACTCTCTGAGCGCTCTACAATAATGCGGCATAATTACCCTGGCTTTAGCAGAGCAGCTGCCACGCGCTCTGCGTTTCAAGGAATAAATACCTTTACTTTTTTTTTACAATAGGGTAGTCTGTTGCAGAGAGCTCTGCAATGTTTGTTTTTAATGTGCATGCAGGTCCCTCTGTAAGAGACTATCCTGCATTCGCATTAAAAAAAAAAAACTTTTCCCATTAAAAAAAACAGACCATAATACAAAGATTCTAAAAGGCTGAAAGGTTAACAAATTAAACGTATATAAATCAGCTGACAATCCATTATGAGAAAGTGTGATACAAATACCGTGCAAACTAAACTGCCTTAATTTGACCATTACACAGAACGTAACATAAAGCTGTGACTGGATGACTGCCCCCGGACCACTGCACAACGGAAAACTGTCTCCTATAACAGTCACCCTATAAAATTATATTATAATTATTTCTCTAACTCTTTTCTGTATATGCTTTATATGTTTCCTATATTATACGTGTTGTATTTTTCTTGTATACCCTGTCAGTGACATAGTTGTGTATTGTTTACTACATTGTGTCATGGACCTGGGTTCAAACGTTTATACTTCTTTGTTTATTACGCTGAATAAAGATGATATATATATACTCCTTTTTTAGCAATAATCACGACGGACTACTGCCTCAATAACAGCTATCTCATAACAAGAACCCCCCCCCCCACCTCCAGGACAACTAATCCCTAAACACACCCTTGTTTATATGATGTGTAGTATAGTTGTTCATTCACTTGGCTTTTAATCATTAGGTTGAGGGTTCGAATCTCTGCACGTTGCGTATATCTTTACACAAGCATTTTATCTACGGTTCTTTCTCTCTCTCTCTCTCTCTCTCTCTCTCTCTCTCTCTCTCTCTCTCTCTCTCTCTCTCCCTCTCTATCTCTCTCATTATTAACACGACCTACTCTGTTGTATATCCTGTAGAAATCATATTCGAATGACGTTACACGTCATTTTAATGTTCACACATACCAAATGGAGATTAACAAAGTCATGGAATTGCCTTAGTAGGTTGATTTTTCGAAAGTTTTCGCGATCGTGCTAATAATAATTTACTATAGGGTAGTTGTCCGGGTTGAGGTATATAGGATGTAGTTGTCATATGTTCCTAAACTAACATCTTCCTTATGTTTATAAAAACAATATTTGACTTTATGACTCGTCTTTTGTTCCTATGTCTTCCTGGACAGCTGCCCGAACAGGCAACGACAATGAAGTGCCCGTATCCGGCGAGTTAGAGGACGGACCTGAACCGGTACCAGTAGTGAACCGGCCCGTCACCACCACCACCAGAAAGGTAATTCTTTCGTAACCACGTTTATCATATCTTTCTTTTACAGATGATTGTGTTAATTAACGACCTGCGTTTTTCATTGGGAATTGACACCATTTTGGGTGTTTCTGTTTACCCAATAGATGGCGACGTCAGTCGCTCAGTGTGAACTATACTTTTATGATCAACATTTGATGCATTTGATGCACTGCGCCCTCTAACAATCGCTCCGTATTAAAGGGAATCTCATCATAACGTTACCCTCAGACACGAAATTCGAAGACAAGCTGGAGTACATTTCCGGTAGGTCACAGTTTAGCTGCCTGGAAGACTTCCTGTACACATAATAACTGTTAGTTTATAGTCAGAACAGCGTTAACTCAATCATACCAAATAACACAGAGTTAACACCCTTCTGGCTCTCAACAGCTCAACCAACTTTGGTGTCAGCAACTTATGAGGCAATAATAACGGAAAGAGACATCAGTAATATTGTCAAACTGACTCCAAACCGACTCCAACCGACTGGTTTTTAGCCATTGGAGGTTATGTAATTATTGGTGTCGATCTCGTTTGTGTCACTTTGGTATCAAGCAGTTCAAATCTATTACTGTATTGAATCGGTTGCAAAGAATTTTGATTTGGAAACAAAACTCGAATTCATTTTCAATACCCTATATCATTGCCTTAGAAAGTCATGTTCAGATGATGTACTGAGTCATGTTCCTTTTCTAACATTTCACAATGCGACGCTCAAAGCAATTGAATTGACCTGGGACTGAATTGTGGAAGTTTTTACATGGTGTTATACTGTATGGTGTTGTACTGTATAGTAAGCATTTTTCGTTACAGTATTCAATCTATGATCATTTCCTCTCTATATTCCTAAAATGGCGGTTGAAAATGCGTATTACATGACTTGTGTATTTAAAAAAAAAAAATATTATTCATATTTAAAACGTCATTTAGCAGGGTGAATATATTATTCCTTTTAATATCCTCGGTATATGACGTTGAATCATATGCCGATTAATACATAATCTCTTGACATAAGTGATAAGGCACCAATATTACAAAATAATTTAATGACATGACCGTTGGTGGCGTTGTTTCAATCGCTATGTGGAATACAGGCGACCGTGGTGATGGAAACGGTACCCAAGCCGAGCACAGCTGAACCTTTGACTAGGAAGGCGACCACCATGGCCAAAGAGGTATTTTGACTACACAAACCTTCATGTGACATCGTTGTCTTCTCATCCGTGTGTGTCAATAATCTTCATAACGTTTTGTTTTTATTTGTTTGAAACCATAACTGTTGTTTGTCTAAGTGATCATGATTACTTTTCCTGTCATGTTCCTTTCTAATGTTTAGTTCTAAATTGGCGGTTGAAAATGCGTGTCTAACTGTTAAATGTATATAATTGATTTTATTGTTATTCATATTTTAAACACCCTTGAACTTGGTGTATATTATTTATTTTAATATCCTCGGTATGTCATTGAATTATAAGCCTAAGTAAGTAAGTATACATATTCTGTTGTCATACGTGATAAAGACACCAATATGACATGACCGTTGGTGGCGTTGTTTCAATCGCTGTATGGAATATAGACGACCATGATGGAAACGACGATGGGAGCGATGATGGAAACGATGATGGAAACGATGATGGAAACGATGATGGAGACGACACCGAAGCCGGTCACAGCTCAGCGTTCTGAGCGTTCGACTAAGAAGGCGACCATCATGACCACCGAGGTATTTTGACTCCACAAACCTTCACGTGACATCGTTGTCTTCTTATCCGTGTGTGTCAATAATATTCATAACGTTTTGTTTATTTGTTTGACACCATAAAAATTGTCCTGTTGATCATGATTAATTTTTTTAACGAATAATATTTCATATAATTTCTAGTTTTTAAATTTGATCCGTCAAGCTGTCGTGTTTTAATGTTATCTCTTTATTAATTAAAGTTGTCATAATTTTCATCATCATCTTTGAACACCAGCTTCATCAACATCATCATCATAATCGGTATTTTTTGTTGTCATTTTCGTTCATCGTCTCTTTTGTGTGGATAACTTAATTTTTTTATAAAATTCAGATTCATCGATAATGATTTTCCCCGTTTAGTTATCGTTTTTTCAGTATTTTGTCCATTGCCTCGTGTATGGCATCATTGTCAATCATATGTATGACTGAATTGTTCAATAAGATTCATTAATAATTTCGCATTTTTGTATTATTAATTTTCATATAACATAAACTCAAATGTTTCGTGTAGCATTGTGGTTGTTAGCATTCTTTCAATTGCATTAATATTGATACGATTTCTTTACTAAATTTCATTTCTATATTTAACTCCAGGGAATTACTGTAACTCAGTTCGTGTGGCATACTTGATGATCATAAATTTTCTATACGTTGGTGATAATCTCCTTGATTCAACAATATTGATGTAATTTTGTGTTGTAACCCATGTTTCGTGTGACAACATTATGTATGTGTTGATAACTTTAATAACAATCTTCCATAATTATTCATTCAATGATAATGTGTGTGATAATGTCGATTTCTTTTCATTCTTTCATTGTCAGTCATCTGTATGTGAGGATAACTTATATCTTTGTGATTTCTAACAATGTTCATTTCTTTCAATGGTGATTCAGAGGTGTATTGTGTTTTGAAGTATGTGTAATGCGGTACCATAGTAATTCATCAGCGTGGGTGTTTTGATATAGATCTTCAGGATTCATCTATATTGAAGTGTTTTCTCTACTAACGGTGATTTCTTCTTCCTTCTATATGTTTCTAATACTGATCAACAAGCATCATTTTACTAACTACATTTTATTTTTCTATTTGTAATACAACAAGAATTAGTAATGTTTTGATACTGGTAATAATGATTTCTGCTACACCGACGTCTCTTCTGTTTTTCGGCAATGCTCATTCTTTAGACTCAGACGAATCGCAGGAACATTACACAATTCCAAATGGAGCGTTGGACCATATTTGCTAACAAGCCCCCCCCCTCCCAAAAAAAAATCGTCATATATTCTCATTCGTCGACAACAAAATTTAAAAAAGAAAAGTTCCTCTTATTTTCAAATTCGCTGACATGAGTTGAGATCAAATTTCCAAGGGGCACCACCAACAAGGATAAGGTCTCCATATTTTCCAACAAATTGGGATCTTCTGACAGACTTTTGGAGTATTCTTCAGTAATCACCAAACAACAACTTTTCAAGTTCTGTTTATTTAATGTTCAATCTTGAAACAGTCGTTCCATTTCGATGTAAGTATTAGGATGCAAGCAACCTCTACGAGTAAACGTTGTATTATTACATTTGTATAATTAGATTTGATTTTTTTAAATGTTTAAAAAAATTAGTTGTTGATGATAGTTAAAATTGACTAATTGCCATGAAAACCCTAATTAATAACAACAACAACTGTGATAACATGTTGTTGTTTCCTTTTTATGGTCATTTTGCACGTGTTCTTACGTTGGCTACGTGGGTAGACTTTCTACACTGGAATCTAATGAATAAAATTACATTTACTTATAATTTGGTTTGGTTAAGTAAAATGGTTTATCTCGTATTTAGATAATAATTATCTGAGCGTTTTCACTTTATCAAGCCAAAATAATTGGCCACAATGTCATCATAAAGCAAATTTGGCACCAGCGTGATCAGTATAAAAACGAATACAGCGTGTAAATCGTTGGAAAACTTTTAGGGGCCCGAATATGGAAAACGGCAAACTTTGTCGAGGCTTTAGGCTTTTGTTGGCTTTAAGTACTCGAGCCAACTTCATGTGCTTAATTTATGGCGATGACAAGGTGTACCTACAATTCATTCATAACGCGTTGCTTTTATCTTGCAGCCGGCCCGCCCGGCCAGAACAACAACAACACGCGCCACAACCACCAGGAGAAGGAAAACTACCACCACCCCACCACCCACCACAACAACCATGCCTCCTACCACCACACCCACCACCACTGTGCCTCCTACCACTACACCCATCCCGACAACCACGCCCATGCCAACCCCGCTTAACTGTGCCGAGGTGGCTCAACGAGGAGAGACTGTATCTGGTTCGTTTCTCATCGATCCCATGCAAAATGGAAATTCTTTCCGCGCCCATTGTGAGCTTCCAAAAGGTACGTGGTCGTTTTCATCACCATCATCTTCTTCTTTTTCATCTTTTTTTTCCTTCTGCATCCTCGTTTTCTTCAGATACCATTTTCGTCACACAAAAAAGAGCCACACCTTGCCCTTGGTGGTAGCGACGTTAAGTAAGCCACTTGACTTTCAAAAGCATTATTGTTACACTTTTAATTTTGGTTTGGTTTCTTTTTCTTTATCCTGTCCGCCCCTTAGGTGTAACGTCAATCGGACACAATGCGACAGCTGAGGTTCTCAACAACGGCTTTGAAGATCCAGGAAGCTTCCATCTCCATCCAGCCTACGTTGCCACACTTGGCCAGATGAAAGCACTTACAGCAGTCTCACAGAACTGCAGCCAGTTTATCAAGGTAATGGTCCCATTTGACTTAGCCCGTCTGGTATGGTCTTTGACGCATGATGTGAGAGTAAAGCTCGTTGCACATGAAGCGTCATTTATTGACGCAATACTCCGTCAGTCACTCGCACAGTTAATCGCGACCCATGTGAGATTGACATCGTAGATAAAGTGATTACAAAACGGAGCTTTTAATTACTGCTGCATGGGCAGGTTGTCTTCATCGTTATTGAGCAGTTATTTACCATATCATTCAGAAATGTCCCTTTTCTTAAAGAAACTAAGTAATTACGCATTTAACCTTATAAAAAGCATATGTAAGAAACAAAACTATTCCTTCATCAAGAACTAACAAAAATGAAAAATTCATGACATTTTCTGTACAGAGGAAATAGGGGGAGGACCTACAAAATACGTCACAGCGTTGTCAGTTTATGTTTGATTGAATACAACTTCAAAAATTCCTAAACTCTCTTATTTATTATCGCATTTTGCTCAAAATTTTTACTGATTTGTTTTTCTAACTTTTCCTGGGTTTTTAAACAAATAATGAAGACTAACTAAATACCCGAGTGGATTTCACCTATAAGAACTACTCTGTTGAGGTGCCGCAGATGATTATAATGTAGGAGTCAAATGTGATGTTTTATAATTTGATTGACTTCTCCAGTACCGATGCAGAGCGGCTGTTCTCCTAGCTTCGGAGAAGAAGACCGGTTTACGGTACGGTTATTGGGTCTCGGTAGATGGGGAGCAGATCGTCAGTTGGGGCGGTGCAGCTATCAACAGTGGCAAGTGCGCATGTGCGACTACAGGTGAGTGAACCCACGCCTTACGACCCCGTAGTTTCTCTTGTCCCCGATCTTCATGTTCCCATCTTCTATTTGCCGAGTTTGGGTGCCATGTTGGATTATGAGTCGGCTGGGCATGACTCGATTGGAGCTCGGGGAATGGCTTAAGTGGCTCGTTGTAGCTCCTAGTATACCCGTGCGGGCTCACGGGCATTTTTAATACACTGGTAATGTATGGGCGAGTTTCCACGAGTTGTGCCGAGCTGACCCAAATTCTTAGCGAGTTGTGCTGAACTGGCTTGGCATCCTACCCGGGACAGGGCTCAGAACTCGAATAGTCATCGAAAGTGACACCTAACTAGGCACCTGATAATATCTTAACTCTGGACCCTGTTCGAAACCCGAACTGGCTACCCGTCTCGGCACCCAAACTTACGCCCAGCTGTAGACCCAACTTCGGATCTTGCTGTGCTCCTCATATAATTTGCGCACGGCACCCAGCTTGGCACCCGGTTTGAAACCCGACTCATCACCCTAGTTGTAACCGTACTCGTCACCGGACTTATCATCCGAATTATCATCTAACTAGGCACCTAACATCGTACCAAACTCCTGGTTTGAAACCCGAATCAAAACCCGACTCATCAGCAGCACTCAGCGACTCCCAGCCCTAAACCCAGCTTGGTGTCCTTTTCTACACCGGATTTGAATACGTACTCAGCACCCAGCACGACACCCATCTCGGCTTCCGACTTTGCACGTAACTCTCCCCCCCCCCCCCGATTTGAACCTAACTCGACACCCAACTCGTCACCCATCTTGTCACCCGTTTCGTCACCCTCTCGTCACCCAACTCGGCAACCACTCGGCAACCACTCGGCACCCTATTCGGCATTCATACACATATGTTCATATAAATATTTTGAGTATATGGATTTTCTGGGCATGATTCTTGTTTTCAAAGACCCACATAAAAATTATTTTCATTATGATTATATATGTGCACAACCGGGCATGCTTGTTTTAGTAATCAAACCGACAATTCTTACCCTGTATTTTAGATTAAACTTGAATTTGCGACAATAAACATAATCGAAAAGACTTTCAAGATGTCGACACCATGCACTTGTGACACATATTACTCATTTTGCTTCTCATAGTTGGCGGCTGCATGAGCGACAAGATGTGCAACTGCGACTCCAACCCGAAGAATTACGCCGTCGATGAGGGCCTCATCACCGACAAGCCCTACCTCCCCGTGACCGATGTCTGCCTCGGAGATACAGGCAGTAAGAAGGAGGAGGGTTACGTCACACTCGGCCCCCTGCGATGCCAGTAAAATTTAATCTGTCCTCGTAGCAGGTGAAAAAAAAATTCGATTTCAATTCATTTTTTTTAAATTTAACAAAAAATACATAATATTATACAATATGGGATATAAACAATTCGCTCTATCGACAATTGATAAATTGAATAAAATTGCTAAGACTCGTGCCCCGGTGAAAATTTCTCTGCCGCCATTATTCTCAATTGCCTAATCAAACACTATGCCTAACCATAGAAAAACCCTAAAAACCTAATTGAAACCCAATCACAACCTTATTTAACCATTATCATATATTTTTGACGAAATAAATTCTGGTACAATTGTCGTCAGAACAAAGGACTTATGGGACAAAATAGCGTGTATTTTCTTTAAAGTTTTATATCTCGAGAATGGTATAAGAGAGGCTCGCCAAATATTATTCATATCTGTTAAAGAAAATTCGTTTTTATTATGTCTGCATGCAACTCTCTTTCTCAATAAACATTTTGTATGTCATTATTTTATATGTTTACAGATGTCAACACTACGAAGGAACGTATACCTTACAAGCCTGAGAATATTGTTTTCGTGAGCTAATCATCTTCATCTTCATATTCATCTTCGTCATCTTCATCGTCATCTCGTGTTTATGATGACAGAAAAACCTTTTCTGGAACTTTTTCATAAAATATATGGAACTTTACGTATCCAATACATTTACTCAGACCGAATCGCAAATTCAATGAACATCTTTGTTATCAGATTTAGGTTTAGATATAATAAGGAAATAAGTCTCTGAGTTTTTTCTTAATTGAGGTTTAAAGTCAATTTGACAGGTTTTTATCAGATTGTAAATATGTATTTAGGCTTTGTCAACCAAATGTCGCCAATAGTAACAAATAGAGAACTGCTTTAATCGTGTACAAAAACATATGAATACGTTTCATTTTTCATTCAAGGAGAATACCTGGATGGATGAAATGTATATTTTCAGTCATTTTAGTTGAAATGCAACCAGTATTACAAAATGTTATCTTGTTGTACAAACTTTAGTTTAGTCTTTTTCGTGTTGTGAATATTGCAAGGGTAATTTACCGCATGTATTGCATGACATTGTATCATTAGATGAGATACTTGCCCATCGACGAATATGTAGCAGCTAATAATTTATTCAGCAAATTACAAGGGAATGCCACACGGACAGTAACCATGGTAACAGGACAAAATTGCTATTTTTGCCTAACTTTTGTGTAGCAGGAATCTGCATTTTTTGTTCCTACTGATTTATGTAACTTCCTGTTGTAGGATACGATGATGTACTTGCTAATAAACGGAAATTGTTGAAAAACTTTCTTTTCCAATTTGTACACATTCAAAGATCAAATACATGTAGTAAAACATCATCAGTAATAAAGTTACTCAAAATTCTGTATGTTTCAACATTTCTTTATCACCCAGCCCGTCAATGTTGTTCATTGATTGCGTTATGCTCTTTGAGGTGAATAGTTGAAGACATTAGTTGCAAAACAAAATGTATTTTTGTTAAAACAATCGTTGTGCGCATATTTTCCCCGTGTGGTATTGCCAAAAAATGAAATGTAACTCCTAGTCCGCAAACAGTATTACTCTTTATGAACTATACTTGACGCAAGGAATTGTTTAATGTTTGTTAAGACTTGTTGTAATATTAATGAATTCATTTGAACAAAATGCATCAATAAAAACAAATGTATAGCCTATTTTTTTCTTCAAATCCAAGTGGTAATGCATCCACTTGTGTTGACATTTGAAACTGTAGATACTTATGATAATGTGATTGATTATTACAAGGCACTTTTTGTAGAGGAAATTGAATAGATAAATAAAATGACGAATAAATATACAAATCAATAAATAAATGAATGGATAAAAACAGTAATAATACATTGACCATACTTCAACTACCAAAAAACAAATGGTAACCATTTTTGTTGATATTATTTTATTCTTTGATATTATATACGGTCCAAAAACCAGATCTTGCCTCATTTTTGTAAGCTATGATTTGTATGTTAAGTAAAGAATAACATTTCCATTTACATGTTTAAAAGTTTTAAAAATACATGTCTAGTCTTATGGTACTGATAATAAATCGTAAATTATTTGTACTATTTTTATCACTGGTAAAACTCTAAATAAAGACTCTTCCTTTAGTTCTAAAATAATACTTCTGTCTGATTTGTCTTAAAGGTTTTGTTGTATGTGGCTTAAGCGTTGGTCACATCCCACCGTGCGTGTTTTTAGTCCGTACGGTTTTTGGGGAGGCCACGGCCGCCACGTTTTTCTGAAAACGTAGGGAGGGAGTGGCAGAGGCAGGGAGGGAGTACCGGCAACGCGCGTCACACGCACTGTGTAAGTACGTGGCCCGCACGCCACGCCTGGCCGTGAACGGTTGCGTGCATCGTACGTTGCGCACGTGGTAAGTGCGTTGTACGTGCTTACAACGTGCTTACAACGTACGGTCTCCGTGCGGTTGCCACGTTATCGTACGGAGGCCGTACTTACAAGTGCTACTCACGTACGGTGTCCTTACTCACTCGCATGTTGTAAGTGCGTGAACGTGCGATGAACTCGGTGTTTATATAGGACGACATTCCGATGTTCTCCAGAAGTCCCAGCTGTTGCTGCCTCAAGATGCCGCCCATTCCACCGAAGAGACTATATACTGCATAAGTCAGTGCGAACAACGTGCGTTGTAAGTGCTTACTCGGTACGGTCCACGTCCACGTGAGTTATGCGTGCTCATTGGATAGCTGAACTGGGGAAGTGGCGAGTAAGCACGGACCACGCACTTATCACGTGCGCCTTTAAAAGACGCACGGAGTCAGTGCGTTGTGCGCTCGTTGGCAGTACCGGGCACGCACGTCACACGCACTGGGGTGAATCAGTAGCCCGAACGCAGCCCGAACGCAGCGAAAGTTCCTCATGCACTAAAAGTGCTACGGTGTGTCTGCGTGCTCCCAAATCCGTACGGAGGCGGTACTCATCACGTACGGATACCCAAATTTCGCCCACGTTTTTGCACGTAGACAGCACGCACTTGCAAGTACGGCGGGACGTGACCACCGCATAAATTAGGCGAAGTGAGTCAAGTTGCTTACAATTTGTGTAGAATTACATTATATAACAACTTTGATGTCGGTTTTGTCGACAATATAAGCAACGCTTGTGCCCCTTTCCATCTCGCTCCCCTCTTTCAATCCCATTTCCCTTCACTTTGCCTCACTCTATTCTTCTGGTTTCCTATTTGTCTTCTTTTCTGCACATGTGTTTTTACTGAGATTTAGTTTCTTTAACTTGTATTTATTAATAGTATTGGGTGATAAGAAATTTCCACCCATCTCATTTTCCGTACCACGATGTCCATGCTCTTTAAGACCCCTCGACATATACTTTAGCATGACATTTCTAACCAATTTCAGTCATCGGATTTTTATTTCTAATAATATATATATTATATACTATCAAATTAACATGCTTCATTTTTTTTAATGAAATTAAAATTACCTTTGGTATGACCTGTATATACCGTTACACACCCATTTACCTGTATGAAATATTAAATCAATTACTAATTTTGCGGACTGTTAGCAAATATTCGGTCACCAGAAAATTAATTATTGAAAGGTGCACGCCCTGAACATAAAACATGTAAGTAGGTCATGAGCAAGGGCACGGTTTAAACCAGTCCAAAGCCAGACAGAGCCGGAGGAAGAGAAGGGCGCACCCAGGAAACTATGGAGAGAGAGAGAGAAGGCGCATTTATACTGTCAAATACCTCATTTTGAAAAGTCGCGATGTTTCGTGCACCCGGTTACACTTGTGCTGAAACATCACCGACGGAGCTGTTCAGCGATGTTTTGGCGTGTTTCGGTTGGTAATGCGCACGTGCAGTCTTCCCGACCTTTGACCCCGGCCTGCTATAAGATTTTTAGCGCGCGCAATTTCCAGCTAGCGCTATAGCTAGCTAAATAGCGATACATCCCATGCGCATGCATGCGATATGTTTTGTTTATCTCGCGTGTAGTATTTGAGGCAAGAGTGGATAAGTTACGAAGTACGGACTACGGCTGCTGATTCAGTTTTCCCAAATTCAATCGAAATCTAGTAGTAAAAACGATATGGGAAGGTTAAGAAAATCATCGTTGTTAATTGTTAATTTCATGCTTTCACTCATTTCTCTGAAGCCCTTTTCCCCACGTTTGCAGGGACGCTTGGAAGTCTGGTGGAGGAGCTCTCCCTGCCTCCACATCGAAATCAAGAACTTCATCTCATCATCAGTGACAGTCCAATGGGAATTGTTCACTTCCATATTAATTAATCTAACAAAACACTCAAATACTACTACTAGACAGATATGGCCAGACGGGAATAACGAAGATTGAATAAAGGATGAGTTAACGGAATTGGAACAAACGGAGCTGAATGAACGGATAACACGCGCGACGATGGAAATGCTATAAATATCACACGGGAAGAACGTGGTTTAAAAGAGCGCGGGTAACAATCCGGAAGTGCCGGAAGTCACGTGCCTAACATCGCGATGTTACAACTGCGAGCGGTTATACTTGCCAAACACGCCAAAACACGCCAAAACACGCCAAAAGATTACACTTCGTTTTGGAATGTTTGGGGCTTGGCATGTCTGCCGGTAAAGCGTAGTTGCCCTTGGTAACATCGCGGCCAGGCTCCGGTTTGGCATTTTTTGGCGTGTTTGGATGACAGTGTAACTGCCCCTAGAGAGAGAGAGAGAGAGAGAGGATACAGAGGGAGAGAGAGAAAGAGAGAGAGAGAGAGAGAAAGAGAGAGATGGTGAGAGAGAGAGAGATAGAGAGAGAGGGGGGAGAGAGAGAGAGAGAGGGGGATAGAGAGGGAGAGAGAGAGAAAGAGAGAGAGAAAGAGAGAGAGAGAGAGATAGAGAGAGAGAGAGAAAGGGAGAGAGAGAGAGAGAAAGAGAGAGAGAGGTCACAAAGCTTAAAGTGGTTTCTCAAGTGTATTTATCAATATCTGAAAGTAGATAAAAAGAGAAAATTCCAAAACGATTTGAGATTAAGGGGAAAATATTTGATAGTCTTATTTAGTATAATAGTCATCCTAATAACAATAATAACAACAACAAAAATATTTATAATGAAAATGATAATAATGCATAAAATAAAGTACCTTTTGGTAAAAATTGTGCGGCTTGGGCATTTGGTTTCAAGTGGATTTGGCGCCTTACGAAATTATATTTTATTGTTATTAAAATTGCTGCCGGTCGTTAGAAGACAATATTTCATTATGGGGGGGGGGGGGGGGGCAGGCCTACATGGCACCCTCGTCCGGATCCTTTACCTGAGCTAACAAAAAACAGCTCAAAGAATAAAATCCATAATTTTATTTTGTGTCGACACACCTTTCTCTCTCCACCTCTTAACGCACCTACCCGGTGTTGAATATTCTCGTCATTAATCGTGTTTGTACAGCAATAAAAGCTGGTGTACATAAGACCCATTGTTTGTAGAATAGGAGGAGTAAGATCGACTTTGAACCGTAGATCACCCGTGTGAAGAGCTGAGACACCATTGCATGTTTACAGGATGGAGCAACATCGGAACAAAATTAAAAATTACAATACAAGTAAATGGGATGAGACAAAGGACTACGTCAGATGATGATGGTGTTGGTGGTGGTGTTGTGCATTTTGGTGGTGGTAGTGGTAGTGGTGGTGTTAGTGGTGGTGGTAGTGGTAGTGGTAGTGGTGGTGTTAGTGGTGGTGGTGGGGGTGGTGGTGATATTGGTGGTGGTGATGAAGACGGCGATAGTGATGATGAAGATGATGATGATGATGATGATGATGATGATGATGTTGTTGGTGGTGGTGGTAGTGGCGGTGATGTTGACAGGGACAATCATCACACTGATATACTAATGACAACAATGACGATGGTGATCATCATAATGAGGAGGAGGATGAGGCTCATGAGAAAAGTGATGATGAATAAAATCGATAATCACATACTTCCTGTATTGATATATTTAATTAAAAATAAGTGAAAGGAGTTGACAGTTTTGTTCAACTGAATCAATGCTTATTTCGAAATCATCCTGATGGGATTATTTTTCAAAACAACGGAGTTTCAATCATGTTAATTGGATGTAATTTTAGGATGTCGTGAAAAACAGTTGTATGCAAAAATGGCAAAATTATGCATTATAATTATGAACAAAGCACGTTGTTCTTGTTTTTTCTTCTACTTTGAATACAAAACATATCTGCACATTTAAGCGCAGTTCGGGCAACAAACGGTCAAAGCAATGAGGCGAACACGAATACATAATAGTCACCTGTTTATCAAAGTGTCAAAATCAATATATTTTATGTAGTAAGAATTAGTAAAATACCTTTGTAGCACCTTATTACTACGTCATCAGAATGTTAGAATTTCGATTAGTCATGTAAATGTTAATATTTGAGCAGTGAATCATTGTAATGTCCAATGGCCTAAATGGTCAATAAAACCAAGCCGCACACAAATGCATTCGAACAGAGGTGAATTACATAAATAATCTTAGTCCAAATCTAAGTCGCAAACAAATGCATGAGAACAGAGATCAGCAGCATAAATAATCTTAGTCTAAATCTTTTCTGTCCTTTCTTTTCCTTATAAGTCAGTATCCTTTTAACATTCCCCCTTCTAGTATGTGTCTACAGTAATTTGTTTCCTATTGTCATTTCACTTCCGCAATATCTATAATAACAAGTGCACATCCCAAACTTTGATTTTTTTTTGTAGACCGATTCAAGAAATGTGTTCGAATTTATGAATGCTTCGTAACCCAGTGACTATTGCATTCACCTCTTGTATTACAATAGTCAGAATGCAAGTCTAATTCATTAGCAGCTGCTATGTCAGACATGCCTTGGGTCGCCACTCGTGTATAGTTGCCATTGTAGCAGAAACATGCATGAGTTTTAATACACGTGTGAACTGGTTTATTGGTCCAAAGTATTTGATTTAGTAATTTTGTCCAAGAATTTGATCGGACACTAACGATGTTCCTTCACATGTTCAGAGATTTGACAGCTTAGGATTTATTTATGAAACTGTAAGGCAAAATGACAATAATAATGATGACAAACTGGTTGATATGATAAAGAAAGACAGCGTATGTGGCATGAGAACAAACATTCCTGCGTGTTCAAGACAAATTAATCGGCAATGAAAACGATCTCATTTATGATAGAAGTGATCACGATCGCATTGTGTACGACCGTCTGCAAAACAGTTCATCGTAAAAGCACACAAACTTGAAAACACGGGTTGGCATTGCACTCGATATCTGAACGCAGTTTGCAGTTGATTATTAACTAGGATAGCACTCTGCTGCAGTCATAGCATTTGACAAGATCTCTGTTAAGTAGCCGACACCGGCAGGAAGACGGAAGGAAAGATTGCTTGAAGACGGGTATAGCTAACGAAAGAGTCAGAAATTTGTTCTGATTTGTAGAGAACGTTGCTTGTCATCAATTTTTGCGAAGACAATTTGCATCGATTTGCTGTTCCTTTATCTCACTGATAAACGAAACAGGATTCTATTGGAAACATTCAAGTAGGATTTCATTCACAGGAGCAAAATGGGTAAGTACATGTATGGGATTTCTTGATTGTTTCGTGTTTCATATAATACATGTATTAACTTATAGCGTCCATTGTCATTTCAATCTCTTCTCTGTATAGAAATATATGAAACTTTAATTTGAATCACCTGGTATCTAAAGACCTAAAGTAATGTAACTTCAATATCCTGTAATATTATGTTACATTATATATCTATTATCATTCTGTTATTATTTTGGGTGCACTGAATGAACTATAAAATATCCTTGAAAACAAAAAAAGTAGTGTAGAACTGGAGCAACTTTAGAATACCCCACGACAAAAATTGATCAGACGTTCGTAGGTTAACAAACGCTTCACCAATGGTTCTTAGGTAACACTAACCCTAATCCCAACCCTAAATCTAACTCTAATCTTATCCCTGACTATAATAACCCTAGTTGTTGGACGTTCATGTACATCAACCCTAATGGTGGGTGTATTTTAAAGTTCTACACTTTTAATTATTATATTAATTCTTCCAACGTCTCTATATTTTCTTTCTCATTATCCCTCTTTAGTACAGGTTTTTAGTTGTGTCTTTTTTTAGTTCAAACCTTTCTGTAATGTATAAAAAACTAATCTTAAATAAACAAAATAAATTTATGACATGAAAGTGATAACTCGTACACATCATTACATGCACTATAGATCCTAATCCGTAAAATTAATATGATTTAGCCTACAAAGCCCAGAATGCCTTAATTATGAATAATTCATCAAATGCAGATCTTTCAACTCGTGAACAAGGGTAAAATGGTAACTGGTACAATGTTAAGTAATATTAATTGATCACACGACAGGAAACTAATCTATTAAAAGATGAAGCAGCCATATTCAATTAAATCCTTTTTATAGTGAAGGAAAAGTCAGTAATGGTCACATACCTCCCCACAAGCAAGGTAATATAATAATAAATGATACATAACACTAATAGAAATGTCTTGGTTAAATGGCAGACTTACAGGAATAAAGATTACGGGTCATGAGCAGCGGGCAGCACAATTTGTAATTGGAAAAGGAAATTTGTAAATAGTAGTCATGGTATTGTATCAGTGGAGGAAAGACGACATGGATACAGAGAGAGAAAGAGAGAGAAGAGAGAAGAGAGAGAAGAGAGAGAGTATGTTTGAAATGGGGATATTCAGAAATAATGTCTAAGACTACTTTACAAAACCGAAGAATTTTGTTCAATGCAAATGTTTATATAAGACATTCTTATAATTATAATCAAAATATGATTGAAATAATAATTATTGCCAAATAATGAGTGAAGCGCGCACGCGGAAGAATGAAATCTTTTCTAAATTACCGGCTTTGAAGAAATGTGAAGAAAATCTCTCATGAAAAACTAAAATCATTAAGTGACAGGCAGGACATAACAAGAAAACAAAAGGAGGAAATATAGGAATATAATAGAAAAGAAACGAAGGTAGGATAATAAATAATACACCATCACATCTAGGTAAACCTTACCAAAGAAGGCGAGATGTATACAATGATCATAAATGGTATGGTATTAATGTCTTATCATTGGAATTAATGTCTAATCATTGGAAACATTAACGAGAACTGACTTTGGGAGGAAGGAAGGTGGATAAAACTTCATACAAACAAGTATTTGATTTAGATGTCTAATAATTCTTTATGATTTTTCAATTCTTAGAAAATACTATTAAAAAGTTTGAGGTGTAGAGTACGGTCATCTGGAAACCAGTGTAAAACCGTCTCACTGCCGCAAACTTCCCCCGGTTTTCCGAGGCCGGGATTTTAGCGTGTAGGGGGAATATCCAAGGGGGTCTCATGACATAATTTTCTTTGACAGCTTACGCCAAGAGGCAGGGGAGAGATAAGGGTCTAAGTGGTAACCCCCTTAATTTTCAGAAACCGTCTACTTGTGTGGAGAGACATGTCCGATTTTCACCCCGGGTCAGCCAGTCTCGGTTTTTGGTTTGCAAAATTTAAAGGTAATACAAAGTTTTGGTAAATTTTTGAAATTGGGTGGGTAGTGAATCTTTACAATTTTGATATATTTGGATGCCCCTGTGGATGTATTATAAGCACTAAAAAAAATAGCCCCTAAAAAATGTCTGTTTTCGAGAAAAATTGAATATAAAAATTTACCGGTGCTCCCGGTAAATTTTGATAAATTTCAAAAAGCGCCTATGGCCGTATATTGGTAGCTGCGACCATGAAAATCTCAGAATATGAAGTTGGGATATATAATTTCCAAACGGGAATATCTAATCGCTCGATTTTAGTCAAGAAACATTGTTTCATAGGTATATTAATATCTTGACCTTGAGAGGGAGCTATACAACATAAAGAGTTTATTATTTATAATTTCATAACTTTAGACTCGATTTCAACCGCGACAACGATCAATGTATATTGTAGGAACGCATATGCTTCCAATATGTTAATTTGAACCAAATTCATGACCCCATACCAAAACTTTGTAATACCTTTAAGGTTGGGTGACAGGTAGGAAAGTATGGCTCCGGTGCATGCAGATTTAGGAAGGTTGATGGTCATTCGGAACAATTGATTTACAAATAAAAAAAACTAAAAAGTACAAAGTTAAGATATCAGCAAGCAATCAATATTCCATCTCATAGAAAGACTTAAGAGAAAATAGTTAGAGAATCATTTATTAGCAGCTCTTTAAATATTATCATCAATGTTACTCTCGTACAGACACCCGTACCCACATAATAGATGTTCATATACCTGTCCATCTACTTTATCATAGATATTGTAACATCCATTGTAGCATAATTGTGAGTATGATATAAAGAGCATTGACTTTACACCCAGAGTTATAATTACCCAATCGAATTACCTCCCAATGAACGTGTCCTCAATCAAATGGAGATAAAATGTAGGAGAGGAGAAAAGGGGAGGGAGGGAAGGTTGGGGAAAAAAAAGGTAGAAGGGGAAAAAACGTGAAAAGAAGATAATAAAACCCTCCCACACATTATGTTCCTTGAATCATGTATTTCATCCCTCGAGTCTAATATTCTAACTCCTTGGTAAGACTATTGCCCCCACCCCCGTCCTACCTTGACAAATTTGCATGTGCCCCTTCAGTGTCTGGACCTACCCTAGGCCAGTTACCTGTATACGCCCTCCTGTTACCCCGACGAATTAATGACGTAATTAAATCTGGCACCCTCGGTTCATGTTTTAAGTTCGCATCCTTTTCACTTCGGCTACTTAAAATTTAACTTTGTTAAGGTCTGCAAAGACACGTTTGAGGATTAGGGTACGATCGTGACTGACCTGATAAGGCACATATCTGTATAATATGTTCATATGGACGGAGTGCTCTTCGTGTTTTTAGAAAACTGATTTATGGACGGAGGTCAACCTGAAATCAAATTTCATGACATTTCATTTTTGTTCGAAAATGTGAGGGTATGTAACCACTTTTTCTTTAGCAATGGATACTGCAACAACAAGAAATTCAGAAGTATGCCTACTTCAAATTGACAATGTAGACACAATAAATATTACCTTTAGGGCGTTTTATTGATACTTTGAAATGCGTACATTTTCTTTCTCAATTTTACCCATTTCATGGCAAACTGTCTCATTACAAGTATCATGAAAGTTGCGTATAATATACTATATCGCGTAGGTCCATACCTGGGAAGGGCATCTGCACCGGGGGGGGGGGGGCAACTGTTTCAAAAGTTAGATGAATGAGCAAGAGCTTTGAAATATAGGAGGGTGTTGGGTGGTCATATAACTTCCTGATTCTTGATTATTATTGCTTTGCCTTTGAATTAGGATATGTGCCTCCTGTGCCCCACGTAGCCACGCTATTGATTTTTAATATACAGCATTTGTAGTGATATCTTTAAAATATTAATGAGGATATTAATTCAATCACTCATTAGACGTGCTGATTCCCCACAAACTGTTGACAAATAGATACCTTCTTATTAAGGGTAGAGGTAAAAAGAATACGTAGATAAGAAGACACTAAAGTTTGAAAAGGAAAACATACCTAAAAGATTAATGATTACTTTATTGCATTGGAAATCGTGTTGGCAATTCACCTATATTAAAATGATATAATTGTATGAGTCTAATGTAGACTTTGATACTGTACTGATATACTGTGCAAACACATTTTTTTAATTTTGTGACCTGTGTTATCACCAATGGAATGCAAAGGCGTTAATATTTTCAATATAAGAATGCACTTTGATCTCATTAACTACATACGTCTATACATTTTTGTTTCACCTGTGGCAATACATTACTCTACATTTGCCACTCCCCACCCAGTCGTAGTAAATAGGTACCCGGTAGGAAGAAATTGCTATAACGCTTTAGCGCCTTATAGCGGCTCAGCTACAGCTGGAGTAATAACGATACTTTGTATTGAGCGCAGTAGAGTAGTTATGAATAATAGTTGTGCTATATAAATGTGTATAACTTATTATTGATAGTGCATGTATTATATATTTTTTTAAATTTTACATAGTATATGACCAAGCAATGAAATGTCTACAAAGTATGATACATGATATGGAAAAAAATGAGAAGGAACTTAGGTTGGGTAAGGGAAGGGCAATGCAAACCATTCCTTTAAAAAAATATTAATTGGTGAGACAAAATAGTATACCTGTATACCTTCCTCTTAAATTCAATCATATTCTACACTGAATAATGGTAATGATGATGATGATGATGATGATGATGATGATGCTGATGATGATGATGCTGATGATGATAATATATTATTATTTTTTATAATAATCATCATCATATCAATAATGATAATAAAAATGATAATAATAATGATAATAATAATATTTATCATCATCATCATCATCATAAAATATACATGAGATTTGTAGGCCCCAAATCCACATGAAATTAAACGAGTGCCCAATATACTATATAAAGTACAATACGTCAAAATACAATATGAGTAGGAAAAAACAAATAAAGAGAATAATTGATTATTCAATTAATGCACTAACAATGAATACAATTTATCACCAGTCATGAAAATACACTTAAAACGTTTTCTTTTTGGTTATTAAAAACTGTGTGATGTTTTCTTTACGTTTGTTTTATTGTTTCCTTTTGACAAAGTAGTGTGAATCAACTAACAGGTAATAAGCTTTTTGCAATATGCGAACGTAGACCCTTAAATACATCACTCGGTCAACATTTTTAAAGGCCATTAACTTACTCACTCAAAGTTTGATCGAGTGCATACAAGACACGCCTTAACCTTATTTAGAACACTCGACTGTCATTGTTTGTTTTAATCGTCAGTAAAAGGTTATTTGAAGTAGGAAATAAGATTACCTACCCCCCCCCCCCCGTCCAAAATTGCCCCAAGTTCACCTCCAAAAATCAATGATATACTCATTGCAATTATAATCACCATTACATTGAAATTGTAATTAACGATATAACAAACATATTTTACATTTCTGTGTCTATTGACAATTGAGAATGATCCGATTTGGTGACGTCAGTCCCCAGACGTAAACTATGATTGACATGATTGACAAGCGTCTGTCAAAAACAAAATGTATCGATTTGATTCTCTTTTGAGAAAAGCATTTCATATTTTGTGGTTGGCTCAGTAAATTATTTTTTAATTAAGAGCCCTTAAATCTACTAAGTTCTTGAAAAGAAAGGGAAAGGGTTTCAGCAAACAATTTCTTCACTTTAATTGTACGACCATATTGACGCCAGGAATGATTTTATAAAGGAAAAGGGGTTAAAAATCCTTAAGATGGCAACACGTTGAGAATTACGTTCAGATCAATCCTTTTCGAACAAAATTGCAGTTCTTTAACTTTAAATAATATCTAACAACCATGCATGTTGTAATCAGAGATATGACATATCATTAGAACAATGACGCAATAAAAGGAAAATACATTTATTGCCAATTTGAAGAAGAAAAAGTGATCAATTTATTCCTTTAAAAATTCTCTCTTGAAAGGGTTTAACAAAAATGTTACTTGTGTTGATTTTTATTTTAGGTTTGTGTGGTATGGTTCCCGTTGCTTCGCTGATTGGAGCTGTCCTGCAGTGCCAATTTGAAGTAGAAAAGGTGGTCTATTTAGTCATTTTAAAATTCTCTCTTGAAAGGGTTTAACAAAATATTACTTGTGTTCATCTTTATTTTAGGTTTGCGAGGTATGATTCCCGTTGCTTCGCTGATTGGAGCTGTCCTGCAGTGCATCGGAGTCTCCATGTTCTGCAGTTCGGCAATCCTCGGATTCAACGAATCGCTCCTTCTCTTCTCGAGTAATCAAACAGTCTACGACACAGTATATGACGATTAGTAAGTATACCCCTCACCTATATTTTGCCATTGTGTTGTTTATGCATGCCATACAATCCATTGCTACTATGTTGCAGTCCTCTTCCTTAATGTTCATCCAAGCTCTCTATCCACTTCTCCTCCTTGCCTATCCCTTTCTTCCTTTCTTCAATTTATAATGTATGTATTTGCGTATTCGGGCGTACCCCATTACAAGCTTTGCTTATCGGATTTCGCGCCTCCTTCCTTGTAATACAAGTTCTTTAATTATATTTATGTTCCTACGTATAAATTATATTGTTTAAACAGATGTCAAATATGTTGTCAAATAGTTTTGTATTTGGTAAGAAATATGTAAAATAGAATGATACTAGTGTAAAAACATATGATAGAGAAGTAAATTTATCTACAAAATATGTAAGTGTAAGACATAGGCCACTGAAGAGGTTTAACTGATTTATGATGTAACTTGAAATTGCGTTTTTTCTCTACAATCAGAAGAAAATTAGCGTGTATGTATAGGAATAGTTAAGAAATAATTTGTTTTTGCGTGCGTGGGTGGGTATGCGCGAGTGTGTATATGTGTGTAAGAACATTGTAGACCTACACCAAGCACAAATCATTAAATAACTGCGAAAACATTTGATTCAAAAGAAAAAAAGTGATGAATAGAAAAACCAATAACAAAGTACGATGATTATTCAAAATACTCTCCATTTCTATACGATTGTTTTCTTGTTTATATTGAATGTTTGTCTTCCTGATTATAACGCGTTAAAAATGGTGTACGTCATTTCAGGTTCAATATTTGAGTAGCTCAATTGACATTCTTTTTGGATATGTCACTGTAACTAATTTTGAATGATTATAATCATCCTAATACATTTTTTCAAGTGCTATTCCATGGTATTTAGTCATGTTGATATCCCTTACATTTCCAAGTACTTTCACTTCATATTTGGTCTGTTCTATCGTAGTAATAATGAGCACATATCCAAAACTTTCCACCAAGGCTCTGCAACAATGAATTTGCACGTTATATTTTTGAATAGTTCAATAGATAATCTACAGGTAGTGAAAGTCAAATTTTAGATGAATAGATACGTTTTCAGTTGTGTTTTAACCTATGCTATGGTAGGCCTATTGACTTGATTATACTAGAACATAAGATGTTGTCGGTATTATTGTATTGTCGGTATGTTGTATAGGACAAAATAGCTTGGACTTGCACTCAACTATTTTCACACGATGTGTTTCATCAGTAGGTAAATGTTTTCTCATTAAAGAAAAAATTATGTTTCTTTCATTTCAGTGTATACTACATCGAGATAAGTGTATATGCCTGGACAGCGTTCATGATGATATGGGCGGTCGGATTTCTTTTCAATGCCTTCATGACCACGGCTCAAACCAATGCCAAGCTCGCCCACGAGGGCGGTAATCTATGCTGCAGTTCACTAGGATGTGTCGGAGCGGTAAGGATACATTGATTACAATTGTTGAATAACGGATCAAAAATCATATTTTTTAATGCAAGGGCGTCGCTATAGGACCAGAGGCTGATACATCTTTGTTGTATAGGAGGCATCGAGTTCCTTTAATTTCTGAGTAGAAAAACACAGGGAGGGGGTTCACATTTTCTTACGTGCAAATTTATTGGGAAAATAAAGTTATTAACAAAAAAAAATCGCATCGTTTCTCTCAGATTTAAGTTCGGTCTGATATATAAACGGGGCACCAGACTACAGTTGGGGTCACATGGGGTTTAAAAGTGAAGAGGGCCACTTGCCTTTTGTGCCCAATCCGAATTCCGCAACTGGGGTGTCTCACCAAAGTTTTAGAAGAAGTAGCTCCATATTTGAAAAAATACAGAAAATATTCATCGCACTTTAAACATTTGTCGAAAGTTTAAATAACAGGTTATTAGATTGTAAAATTTGTTTTGGAGTGATCTTGAGGATAAATTGCCGACAGTGCTCTTTCCCAATGTCAGAATTCTTAACTTTATGATGGCGACGAGTTGCCATCAATAAGGCACGTATTCCCAGGAAGCAAAAAAATGTATTTTCATGATCTCAAATCTGCCAAGGAAAATAATAATGAGAGCACCAGAAAGTAAAACAGACACAAAGCATTAGGTCATAGGTGCAATGGTATAATTTCGACAGTTGGGGACGAATGATTGATGGTTCCAGTTTCTAAATTTTGTGAGGGAACAATTTTTTAATATTTTTTTTAACATGGCCAAAGTTTAACCCCCCCCCCCCCCCAAAAAAAAGGGTAATATAAATGTATAAGATATGCAAATCACGAATACACCATCTTGCAGCTTGAATATGGGATAACGGTTGCCGAAAATAAGGTGACAAATGTTTTTCAATATTCGGGGAGGGGCTGCAACCTTTAGCACCCCTTGCACCGTACGCTTTTGTATTTTGGTAATATATCCTCCTATTCTCTTGTTCTTTCAGGCGATTTCCTTAAACTGTGTAGTCCTGGTAGTGTGGGTCGCCATCTTGTGTGCAGCTTCCTTACTCCTCACATTCTCAATGATGATCAGCGGTTACCATAGCAACAGTGGTGGCGACAGTACAACGCCCGTTGATTTTACGTACTATGGTAAGAAATAGAGACCATGTAACATTTCTTTTAATCTAGGCATATGCTAACCCAGAGCCACATTGTGACGATTTTAGTAACACTCATTTATTGTCGATACGTGATGCCGTACTTATTAACTATATGAAGTAAAGGCAAGCAGAATATTACGAGAGAGTGTGTGCATAATCGTTTTGTAAATGCATATTATTAAATCACAAATTATGCACTCCTCTCTGACAGCGCCGGATCCGGGATTTTTTTATATAGGTCCCCTGGATTCGCCACTGTCTAGTCTGGTCATACACATGACATGCATTACATGGATTAACTTGCAATTGATAATAAAAAAATAAATAAAGAAACTAGAGAACTAACTGTATTGCTGTATGTATTCTTACAGAATTAACATGAATTAAATGTAATCATGAGCCGTAAGAGGGCGTCGACTACAATAAAAAAATTTTTTTATATGGATGGATCATGGATGGAAGGGAGGAGAAAAAAAATAAGAAGGCTGGTGAAAGTAAAAAGCGAGGAAGGGAAGCAGAATATGAAAAACAATGTGCAGAGATAGGGTAGATCAGAGGTAGATATGGTTATTTGAAAACAAAACAATTGAGGAAGAGAGTCGTGGATGCATCATCTTCTTTTCATGCTCCTTTCCCCCTCTCTCATTCATTTCCCTTTTTTCCCTTTTTTTTTAAACATTCAGTGAGAGATACGCTAATGAATATATTAAAGATTTATCCGAATTTTCAAAAATGGACATCATTTTTGTTTCCCATCTACAGGTTTAAAGATTGATGAAGTATTAGAAGTGGACAATCTTGAAGGAACAGTAAGTATCTTTGCACGCAGGGGCTTAAACGATCTAGATCAATAAAATGAACTCAAATTTGAAGAAAAAAATATTAAAAAGACAAAATAGTTGAGTATCGAACAAACTAAAGGTAGCAAGGGAAACAAAGCTTTGAGGCATAATAAAATGGAAAATGAAAGAAAAATATATCGTAAGCAAAATTCAATAACATGAAGAATTTCATATGCTGTCAGCCGTCTAAATGAAACTGTAAGTGAGTAAATGACACAACAAATCAACAATGTTTTTTGTTAAACCCATCAATATGGAGAAAAAAAACACACACCGACTTATAATTCTTATAGCCTCGTATTACTAGTGATTAAAAACCAAATCGAAATATGAAATCAAAATAGTAACTCCCGTCATTTATTGATTTCATTCACAGAGCAACAACATGGTACTCTTTTTCTCCCTGACGGTTGGAGGCGCTGCACTTGTTACTTTTGGTTTGGTAAGTACAGTTCGGGGTTATATCCATCTACCCGGTAATAATGATTATGACAATGTTTTGCTTCATTTTCATATGATGCCAATGAGTTAATTATCAAGGTATTCAATTTAAGGATGAGCTAATTGGCTGCAAAAAGGGGCTCTGATTGACTTTTTACCCCCGTTACACATCTTGTATATTTGGTAACAGAATAAATTTATATAAATTATTTAAGTACTCGGACGACTACTTCTCGACGACAACACCAAGACATTTCTATCCCCTAACCCTTTCCTTTTTTTTTTCAAGGGCGCCATGCTGCCCGAATATTATCATATCATAATTTGGGGATATTCATGGATCTCACTGCCTACATATTTCATTTAAGACTCATCATGTTGTCCCCACGTTACTGATTCACGTAATATCATTATCTTTGAAGAGTGTTTTCGAGCAATCAATCTCCTTATATTATTTCTCGTTTTTCCCTTTCCTTTCATCTCTCCCCTCGCTCTTTTTGCCATTCAATGGGGATGGGGACATGGGGGCATGTGCTCCCGTGCCCCCCCTATCTACGACACTAGTCCTGAAAGGAGAGGGAGTTGCCCAGGGTTAGTCACTAGGGACTACGGAACAGTTGTTTGGGGCAGGTCTAGCTGTCTGGATTAAAAGTCGTCCTGATTATGTGATTTTTTTTTTTGTATATGTAAATACAGGCCAGCTCCATCGCGTGCATGGCGAGTAATTGGAAGCATCTCAAAGTGGGCGACCAGTGGAAAGACTACGCCCAGAAGAGAAAGCAAGAAGAACGAGAACTTCACGAAATGACATCATACAAATCATCAGAACGACTGGCAGCGAGTCTATACTATTAAATGTTGTTCCTGGACAAAATGGACAAAAATGGGGAAATTTCGTATATCTTATTCAAATTTGTTAAGACATACATGTAGGCCTATATATCGTGAATCTTGGAGCGAAAAAAAGAAAAAAAAGAGAGAAACGTCTTCATCACGTATACGCTCTATGTATAATTATGTTATTATTAATACGTGTTTTAATTACTTTAAAACTTAGTATTCATCTGTTAAGACATGTATCCTACAATTTAAAAAAAAAGCTAACTTATCCCCATTTTTTGTTGTTGTACTGATTAATGATTTTAGGAAACGTGATAAAGCAAAATAAATAAAAAGAACAGGAACAAAATAATTAGCACAAATTACAATTCCGTTAAGGAAGTAATACATATTTAAATTCCTATCTTGTTTCTACTTTTAACTGATCATTATGCTTGTACATGTTTTTACATTATGCAACTTTTATATCCCACGCATAAAAGAATATAGTTGAAAAAATAATTGATATACAGTTACGAAAGAGAAAGGAAAGAATCGTTACGTAAAATAAAAATGTGACATTGTAGTTTTATGCACCAAGATACATTGTACATATTGAAAAATTGTAGATACAGAAACAGACATATTTTCTTATTTATGGCAATATTTCTATTCATAAGACTAAAAAACGCCAACATGCAGTTGCGAGTGCGGAATTTTTAAATAGAGAGGACGCATGCATGAAAAAAAAAAAAAATCAAATCATAATAGAGGGGTGCGGCAACCATCTTTGATTGCGACACTGAGCAATATTTAATAATTCAGTTTCAGTTTCAGTTTTACATATCTAAACATTGTAAATAGTAAAAATACTTACTATAGTGTACCCTTTTGAATTAGAGTAGAATTATAATGTTTTTTCTTCTCTTGAGATTCCAACAAATCTGTTAACTATTGTTGCTGTAATACTGGAAGTGTTTTGGAAGGCAAACAATTAATTATTGTGACTGATATTATTACATTGCTATAAAAATATAAATAAGGTTCATAGGCCTGTACGTATAATTGTATGTGATAGCCTATCGAATGTGAGGTTTTTAACGGGAAGAAGACCAAACCTTACACTTTAAAACTCATAGGGGAAATTATGTCAAATATAATGTTTGGAACAATCTGTTTTGTTTTGTAAAATATTAAGCATTTTAAAAATAAGTATACCGAACGCTTTATGATATATGACTCCCCGCTCGCTCTCTCTCTCTCTCTCTCTCTCTCTCTCTCTTTGTCTCTTTGTCTCTTTCTCTCTCTCTCTCTTTTTCTTTTGCTTGCTCTGTTCCTCTCCCTTTTGTCACTCTGTCTAATTCCAGCCTTCGTGCCCTGCATGTATCTTTTTTTTTATATAATTAGTTCTATTATTACCTTTGTATGCGTAACTACCATTGTGCAAAATCTAAATGTGAACTGAGGCATTGTTTCCATGGTTTTTACAGTTTCGAACGGCCGTCCGATTTGGAATCCAGCATTTTGAATCGGCTTTGAAACTTTTCTTACAGAACTATTTTTGTACAAGCAAAATGATTATCTGATATTTATTACAAGAAATTAATGTTGTATATTCACGATTTTTTTTCTTCGTATCTTCATGCTAGTTGCTTCTTTTCTGTCATCCTATTGTTATATGAAACGTACAAATATCGCATTACAATAAATATTGAATACACAGTAACCTAATTGTTGTCAGTGCCAGTGCCTAATATTATTGTTACGCTTGAGTCATTCGCCTCCTGCATTGGCGATCTGATATTGCTCTTCCTAGTAAATTATCTACCGCCCTCTCCGTGGAGTGTACGCGCATAAGACAGTGTCCTCTGATGCACACAGTCAAACCTGTCTTTAATATTGGCCACCTCTCTATAACGGCCAAGTGGCTATGCATAGTGTCATATATGTTGTCTCCCTCAAGAACGTTATGTGTGTTGTAGAACCTGTCTAGAAAGGCCACCTATCCATAGTGGCCTTGTCCCCCGTTTCCCTTACAGGTGACCTTGATAGACAGGCTTGATTGTATTGTCATGATCATTGATTGGTTTCTAGGACAACCTGAAGAAGGAAAAACGAAATAGACAGACAAAATAATGTTGCATTATTATAAACAAAACAACAACAACAACAACAACAAACTGATGCATTATAATAAACGATGAGGGGGGGGGGGGGGGGGGTAAAGACAAAAATCGAAGTTACAGATGTATTTTATTCACTGTGTATTATAGTAAATATCAAATATGAATCCAATTTCATAATAATGATGCGGATGATGATGATGATGACGATGATGATGATTATGATGATGATGGTGATGATGATGATGACGACGATGGTGGTGATGATGATGATGATGACGACGATGATGATGATGATGATGACGATGATGATGATTGTGATGATGATGATGATGATGATGATGATGAAGATGATGAAGAAGATAATGATAATGATGATGATGATGATGATGATGAAAATGATGATGATGAAGAAGATAATGATGATGATGATGATGATGATGATGATGATGAAGAAGATAATGATGGTGATGATGATGATGATGAAGATGATGATGATGAAGACGATGATGATGAAGAAGATAATGATGATGATGATGATGATAATGAAAATGATGATGATGAAGAAGATAATGATGATGATGATGATGATAATGAAGATGATGATGATGAAGAAGATAACGATGATGATGATGATGATAATGAAGATGATGATGATTAAGAAGATAATGATGATGATGATGATGATAATGAAGATGATGATGATGAAGAAGATAACGATGATGATGATGATGATAATGAAGATGATGATGATGAAGAAGATAACGATGATGATGATGATGATAATGAAGATGATGATGATGAAGAAGATAACGATGATGATGATGATGATAATGAAGATGATGATGATGAAGAAGATAACGATGATGATGATGATGATAATGAAGATGATGATGATGAAGAAGATAACGATGATGATGATGATGATAATGAAGATGATGATGATGAAGAAGATAATGATGATGATGATGATGATAATGAAGATGATGATGATGAAGAAGATAATGATGATGATGATGATGATAATGAAGATGATGATGATTAAGAAGATAATGATGATGATGATGATGATAATGAAGACGATGATGATGAAGAAGATAACGATGATGATGATGATGATAATGAAGATGATGATGATTAAGAAGATAATGATGATGATGATGATGATAATGAAGATGATGATGATGAAGAAGATAACGATGATGATGATGATGATAATGAAGATGATGATGATGAAGAAGATAATGATGATGATGATGATGATGATGATGATAATGAAGATGATAATGGAGATGATGATGATGAAGAAGATAATGATGATGATGATGGTAATAACAGTCAACAAGACGATCACAGCTAATTTCGAGAAAAAAATTCAACCTCGGGCGATTTGAATAGACTTGAGCGGCACCATAGGAATGTGCGAACATCACATTGACAATAAGTTATCACGTGATCATAACACGATTTCTATTGGATGTACAATGACTATTGAAATTGCCCTTGAGTAGATTTTTCAAAAATATGTTCGAAGTGAAAAGTAAAACATTTTAAAGTCCAAAGAAACATCAATAATGATTATACAAGTAACGGAAATTGTTGATTTATGTACTATGATGTGTATACATTAAGTAATGAATCAAAGTCTAAAATCGAGTGTGCGTGTAAATCATTATATAGAAAATTGATGCCAAATCGGTCTTTAACGCATACACTTTGATACATTACAAGAAAATAATGGTGGTTAAAGACTAAGGGCGTTCAGGGCAGTAAATATTTTTTTTAAATTTATTCATCAAAGTAGCCCTTTTAATAACGTTTATTGCTCTTCCAATGGGCTATGTCTGCACAATAAAAAAAGACATACAAACATTACAACATTACGTACAACAATATTACTTTAAAACAAAATAAATAAAGTTAAGATTTAAAAAAAAAGGGTTTGGAAGAAAGTGAACATTTTGTGTTACCAAAGATTTACCTTTCAATATATAGTTTTGCCTTTTCATAAATTCTTATAAATCTGAACATGAATTACTTTCTTCTTATCCCATAAAATTAATTATTTTTAACTTCTTAAAGGTAAAGACCAGTATTGGAAACGCCCCAATTTCAAAAAATGAAATGGAAGCTCTTATTACCAATCATGTAAAAGAATATGTTTTGACTAATACATGATGATAAAAAATTTGCCGGGAAACCGCCTACTAATTCATATATTTGGTAAATTTGTTTCTCTCATGGTCTGTGAGAGATATAGGGTAGTCCCATATACATCTTTCTGTGTATAGTGCTTGTAACTTTACGAAGAATGGGCCAAATTTCTTATCATTTTGATGATTCCAGAACCTTGCAGATGCTAGATGCTAGATGATCAACCTTTTCTGATCGATTCCACAACGTTTCTTTCACAATGCAATCGCATGACCATAACTGGTCTTTACCTTTAAAATACATTTTTTTTTTAATTAATTTATAAAAAATTAGGAGGAAAATATTACATATTTTCAAAAGAACATTTCATATTAGAGAAAAGACAAAACTAGGACTAAATTTAACAGCAGTACAATCATTATCAGATATCCAAACACATATAACATGGTAATCCTTTAATAATATTTGCTAGGTAATTAATTTGCTATGTCAATAGCTGTTATGCCATTTCAAGATAAAAATAACTGGCTTGGAGTTTGTGGGCATACGATTACTTTAAACCAGTTGAAGGTTTTCAGTGAATGAAATATGTCCTCAGGGGCTGAAGAAAAAAAAGTTGAACAATAAGAGGGGAGAATTCTAATCCATTATTCCTATTCGTTATGTGAGAGAATTTAGGGTAAGCTTTGTCACGGATGGATGTACACATTGTATAACACGAGTACACATGTGCATTTACTGCGACGCTTGGAAGAAGTAAATAAAGGTTACACACAAAGATCGCGTATGTTTTGCAGACGACAAATAGCATCGTTCTCACACACTCGCAATTGCCTATTGCACGCCCGTACTGTCACAGGGGAACGCGTACTGTACGCTGCGCATTTTGCAGCATCTGATTTTTTTGCTTTTGCGAATCCAACTCAAGCAGACGGTCGTGGAATCTTTTGCTGGTTGAGCATCACTTATCTCAATCGTGGATCGTTATTCCGCCGCCACCCTCTGATTTTGTAACACAGGAATTTATCCACCATCTGGTTTCCCCTCTTACTGGATATATCACATCTTATCGACTCTGTTTACCGGTACGAAGGAGCTGAGAGATTACGATGGCCGGTAAGTGAGATTTCTTTTTATTTCCTGCGATACTTGGCGCTCTGTTTCGAGACATTTTATTTCATGTATCTGTCTGCGTGGGAAGATGGGCGATGTAACAGGTTGCTCGGTAAAATTAGACCATCCCTGCTCCCATCTGAATTCAAACATCAATCGAAACTAGGAGCTAAACTTGAACTTGCGAATAACTCTTCGAAATACAACGATTATCAAAAGATGACACCGCTCAGACGATGATCCAGTTTTCTTTCTTTGACGATATTGGCGCGAAGGGAGTGGAGGGATGGATGCAGTGTGGTGATGATGCTGGTGATGTTGCTCGTTCGATTCCTGCGTTTGTTTATGATGAGGAGGGAGAGAGTGAGAGAAAAGTGGGCGCGCCACTGCTATGAATAATGCATGAGCTACTTCAATATTAAATACCCACATCGTATGTTAGGCCGCGTGCCTGGGAATTTTGAGCAAATCTGAGCAAATCTTGCATTTTTGTTTGTTTGTTTCTACATTTGATGATTTCATTAGATATTTTTATCATTATTATTATTATTTTCTTTCTGAGCAATCATTTCAACTCCTTGATGGGAGAATCTGATTTTGTTATGGATGGCTATTGTTCAATATTTTTTGTATTTTTCATTGATGTCACTGATGGGAATTTTTGTAAAGTTTAGACGACTTTCATATCTGTATATTGGCATCTAACATGAATTTTTAGGTTTCACTTTTACATTTATCCATGTTTATTTTTCGATGGATGAGTTTATTTTTAATGTTGTGATAGCACAAGGGGGCTCGGGTGCTATACCCCGGCACAATCAAACTTTTTGCCCCACCTTTCCATCCCAAATCAGCTCGCAAAGTACATGTACCATGTAGGCCTATTATGGCGTTTTCTGCTCATGTAACTACTTCAAGAAATTTGCCCTAACAATTTTTTTTCGTTGAAAGACTCCTCCAACTAGGCTATTGCTCAAGATAATTATCATCCCCTAAAAAGAACCACTTGCCCTTAATTTCTGCCCCCCTCCAAGTTTGAAATCCGGTGCCGCCACAGTCATGTTGTCGATAGTGAAAGTGAGCATTAATTAAGAAGCATTTGTCAATGATCAGGTGATGATGATTGTATTTACATTCGCCCTTTAGTTTCTATTTTGTCGTTAATAGGAATGTCTGTCTATTTACTGATAGGCTATTTAGCAGAATTACATGTAGTAATATCAAAGTCGTGATCTACATGTACTAACAAATACTACATGGCAGAGTGTATCATTTTTCCTGTGGGCGACGTCAAAATGCAATATCTGTTGTCATACCCTTTTTTTCTTCTGAACATGCCGATAGTGTATAGGGAAATAATGATTGTCTGATTCAAATCAATATTGTTGAGCATAAGATGTTAATCTCCTCGAACCTTGCAAGAAAATAAAGTCTGTTTAGAGTCAGTGAGGCGTTAACTAGGTGTTTAATGATCGGTAGTTAATATCCTTCTGCTTCGTAGACTTAGTTTATTAAGCTTACACTATTTTTATATTATAAGATATGACTTTACCCTTGACTTTAGCCTGTGTGAAAGAAACTCATGTCGCACGTCATTACGTTGGTTTTGATCCGCGCTCTTGTTTAATGCGTCAATATTTACCTGATTGGATAGCAGTGATATTAGAGGGGTGGATAGTTTATACAATAGTTCTGAGGATAGTAACCCAGGGATATACAATGTAGTTGTATTATAGTAGAGAGTGTATCAATGTTCTTCTGAATTATCAGTCTGGTTTCTTAAAGGTAATAGTCTACTATTAGACATGTCTTTTCATTCAACAAGTTTGGCCATGACACATGGTGCACCCGGAGCATTGGATGATATTGCAGTGGTGGATAGTTATAAAAGAGATCTAAGGAAAGACCCCAGTGAGATAACGGTCTTTTCTTTAACTTACTATTCAACTATATTTTTGATGTAAGGCGAATTGTATACCCACATTGTTGGGGGAAATCAAGTTAGTCTTATAAATAAGAACAGACACCGCTTGTGAAATACATAACCCATATAAAACTACCTTATTTTTTAAAGATTACCTTGGCAATATTTTCCTAAGCACTGTTATTATTAATGGCTTCAGTAAACAAAGTAGAATAGAAACAAACAAACTTTGAATTAACCAAGAGTCGAATACAGAAAAGTTGAAACTGTCGAATCAGTACGAAATAATTTTGCATACCTGCAGTATGATTTTCTTCTTTCTGAAATTATATTTGTACGCAATTCGTCAGCCCACCTTTCAATACCAAATATGAAACAATCCATTTTGTTATCCTTTCTCTTTCCGCCAAAACAGATAGTCGACCATTAATGCTTCCTGATTACAAGGTAATGAAAATGAGCAAGAATACCCTTGTACGAAACCTCAATGTAGGAGCATCAACATTATTATGCCAAACATATTCGCGTTGATAACGTGCTTGTAAGTAATATAGCTCGGTGTTTCCATGGAAACAGACCCCACTCATGTGACTAAGCCGGCCAATGCCCTCAGGGGGTTCGTCCCCACTACTACATGTAGTTCAAGTTCACATCGGTAATGTACAGGTAAACAACAAGTCGTGGTGTGTACGTGTGGGTGGGGTGGTAATGTTCAATCTCAAGAGTGCCATAATTGTCCCGACTGGAATGAATTAGAATACCAGCATGATAATAAATATGTTACTATACTCCCACCTGTAGTTAAGAGCCTTGTTGT